AAAAAATTTCGGACTTTATTTTATCTTCATGGTGAAAACAGACATTAAACTTAATAAAAAAAATACGATTTTTGTAAAAAAATTCTTTTTTATATTTTTAACTTTATAATGCTATAACTTCTCGAAAGATCTATGAATCAATATAATTCTTTTTTTTGTAGATGCATGATGTTTTTACCTATCATTTGGTATATTTTTTTTATAAATCTGACTTTTTACCTGCCTACAGGGGGGGATTCAAAATGACAACTTTTTCACAAAAAATTGACATTTTCAACTTAAATTTTGAAAGTGTTCCGGAAAGTCGGACACTTTTATATATATCTTAAATTAAAGCTAATGTAATATACTTTATCATGGAAAAAAAAAATAACGGACTTTATTTTATCTTCAAGGTGAAAATGGCTACCAAATGCTATTATTGTGTGAAAATTCTCAATTTTATTTTTTACATTTTTAACATTATAATGCTATAACTTATTGAAAAGTGTATTGATCAATATAATTTTTTTATGGGAAATACTATTTTTTAATAATCCCTTTTTCATTCGACATACTTTATCTTAATCAGGATATTAATAAGGAACTAGCAGTTTATGAAGCTTTTGGAATAATCCACCAATTTTTTAAAATTAAACACTATCTAAAGATTTGCATCGAAGCGTTTTTTTTTTATAGTGATTTTAATCACTGTCAGATATCATTATACTTGATCCATCTATACCACGTCACCACTGTGCCGCGACCCCCCTGTGCTGGGTTTTTTTTCTTATTTGTTTATATATTTTTCTATAAAAATTACAATTTTTAATTATTGAATATCAATATCATACTAAATTTAATTACTAATTATTTTATTGGATATAAATCGGTCGAATATGTTGTCAAGAAATTGTTTTGTGATTATTCACATTGGTGTGAAATTTTATATTTCTTGTATAATGTATTTAATTGTTATAATTTTATTTTGTAAAATTCATTCTACATTCAAACATACAGTCCACTCACCTTATTCCTTATCCTCGACATAGTTAAAGACTTAAGACAAAACAAAACCACGAACGTTAACGAACCCGAGTGAATAGCGCCGAGCGTTGCGTTCATATATATTTACTTATGTAATTTACCTATAAATCATAAAAGTTTTCATCAGGATATGCTTAAGGAAATAAGAGTTGATTTGCTTTTGGAATAATCCAACAATTCCATATATAAATAATACTATCTACAAATTTATATCGATGCGTTTTTTATGAAAATGATTTTAATCACTGTTTAAAACAATTTTATCTAAAAATTTTAATATGTATTATTATAAATTCTAAATTTATATAATTCAATTATATGACATTTAATTATTTATTTTAGGATTCGAAATTTAGTCGTTTAGCATCCCTTCATCTGAAGCGTATATTTAATGATAATGTCCATAATGATAGAGGTATGGACTTAATAACATTTAAAGCCCTTATGTATGTTTTTAAACCAGTACACGAATTGAATGATATTGATATTGAAAAATTATTCCATAAAGAAATTTTATTTAGTAAGTAAAACTCTAATTATGATAATAAAGTTAAATTTTATTTTCAACAAATTCCATTATAGCTCATAAATTTAATATATTTGCATATCTTTTAGTTGTATCGATCAAGGTAATAGGTACAACAACATTTTGGTTTGGGACAGTGGTTAAAGTTAAAGTGGTTAAAGCACTATAGTTCCTAAAAAATTAGGGAGTTCCAGAGTAACACCGAATTGTAAAATATTTTTTCTAATTTTAAATATTATACTATAACAGAAACAAGTTGAAAAAAAAATATTAACAGTAACCAATTTTGGTAGTTATCTACATATAAAAATATGAAATGACAAATATAGTAATATAATTTATAAAATATTCAACATACTAAATATATATTAATAACTGTGGTGGTTCTATTAATATAAAAAATGTTTATATCACCTTAAATTTTTATTTCTATCACTTTGTAACCTTTAATATAGTAAGTCCTTTAGTTCCATGTGTAGTCATAGATAAATTACATGGTTTCTTAAGCTTAAATTAAAGAATTAATTAATTAAACTTTTAAATAATCCAAAAACAAACAAATAGCAATTATTATATTATGGTCTGGCATGCTCCTAGGACTTATATTACCATGGTCACATCATAAAATTATTTTCTTTTCTACAGCTATTTTTTATTAACAATTTTGAAATTTTGATCATTCGAATAAATTTTCTATATCTATATCTATATAAATTTTCCACTCTTCAATGCTAAAAATTAAAGCGTCCCTTCAGCATTTTTGGATTCGACTTAAAAAGGGACGCTAGATTGTACTCCGTCCACCCACACTTTAATCATTGATTTGAGATTAAAATATGAGGATATATTTCGCAATGTCTACGATTCAAAGCTAATAAATACATGTACATTTATGAATATTAATGCTTATTTTGTTACAATTAATACAATTTTATTGTAATATTTATATTTTTCCATAAAACTCGTGTTGGGTATTCAGCGTTTAATTTTTAAAAAAACATTAAGTGACTCAAAATTGTTTTTTTTTGTGTATAGTTCTGATTTACAGTTTATTTAGAACAGTACAGCTTATTTTGCGTACGCTTATTGGTGAGTAATTAAAGGTGTAAAAAAAATCACATGACAACCTGTCGTTCTATTATATTAATTACAGTAAATACAATCTTAATCTGAATTTTTATAATACACAAAAACCAAAACAATTCATTTTAAATTGTTTTATTTTTAATATAATAAGATAAATATAAATAATTGCTTATGTAACGCATTTAAAACATACAATACACACGATTCTAGAGGTCATGCTTCTAATTTAATTATTGTGTTCATCATTGGCACATTTACAATTTTAGCATATTTCTGTCATTGCAGATGTGATCTTGAATAGGAGGAAGACACCTTTAATCCTTAAAATACTTCTTATTTATATTCTTATTTTATTCGTATGTAAAATGTGCAATTTATGCATCATAAAAGTAAAGTCTAGATTATTAACAAAAATATAGTGTTTTAGTTTTATTTAAAATATCTTAAGCTACCAATCAATAACATTAAAAGTGTTATCATACAATTTAATTAATTAACAAAATAATTAATTATTACAAATCAGACAGATTTTGATCTCAAGTAATAACGTTTAAATATCATTGGACTGGTTATATAACCAGAACAAAAAAATACTTTGGTAGAACAATTATTAAAATTGAGGACTATTTGTTTTCAAATGGATCTCATAGAATTTGAAAAAATTATAAAATAGTTGGAACTTTAACAAATGTAATTATTACAAATAATAATTTTATGTTATAGAGTAAGCTAGTTTTATGAACGAGATACAATTTCAAATGTCGTGTTAAATAGTTATACATTCAAGTACTAATTATAATTTTCCACTTTAATAAAAATATTTTTATATAACCATAAATGTAATGTTTGATATTTTTTGGAGAGTTATTTACATTTCTGGGATTTCATGGAAGCTGAAACATCTATATTTGGACTTACAAATAAAAATAGTTTTCGTATTGCGTGCAGTATTTTATTTTTACCTTTTTCAAAATGTAATTGTGTCTGAGGTAATAATAACAAGATGATTTAAGTTAACTTTATTGTCGTTGTCATGTACTCATTATTATTATGTAAATATTAGTTTTTAAGAAATTTATATAATTAATAACTAGAAAGTAAGAAATATTATAATTATTAGAAACTATAGCATTTATAAAGTGTTTTATTTATTAAGTATAAAGTATTTATTCATTATTCCTAATGAAAAGGGGCCTGATCACTGACTCGGTGGTCAGTGTACAATCGATGAATGTTATATTATATTTATTATTTACTCTTCTCGAAATACACTTATCCGCGTGATCGAACTTGGACTTAGAACATCCAGTTCATCACATCGTCTTTAGTCGAAATATTTTGATATATTTGTTTCAAACTAATATTTCTTATGTATACAATTTAATAAATATAATATTAAACGTCTTAGAAAGTATTATTAAATTTTCAAGTAATATAAAAAACCATTTATAAAATTATAATAAATAAATAATATTATTATTTAAATGTCGGTTACTGATTATTACTAATAAAATTATTGATATTACCATTTTACTTTTAAATAAAAATGAATTGATAACACATAATTTTTACTTCAGATGTAAACGTATTTATGAGTTCGTATAAATTTTTAAAACGAATATTTGAAGTTACAAAAAAAGTTGAGCATAAATTAAAAACTATTTATGAAAATCATGTCAACCAAGATGGCAAGATGACTAAACAAACATTTATTGAAGCTATAAAAGTATTGAGTATGTGTGATATTACACAAAATGAAGCTAGTGAAACAATAAATGTAGAAGGTGCAGACCCACAAAATATCAGCTTTACAGGTAAAATAAATATTACGTATAATTTTTTAGACTATTAAACTATAAACTACCCATCTAATGTGATATTCTTCAATAAGTTTCCATAACTCCAAGATTGATTGTTAATTTGTCGTCGGGATGGCGATTGGAATCTTAATGTACTGTTAACTGAATTTATTTATAGCCAACCAAATATAATAATTTGCAATAGATTACATGATATATTAGTAAAATAACTTTTGATTCGTTATCCAGTAAAGCATAGTCATATGTCTAAAATATTTTAAAAATGTGTTTTAAAAAAATAAAAATAGCCGATGTATATGCTTATTTTAGCTTTAATCAAACACTTAACCTGCTCATTGGGAGGGATTTAAAATAAACTTTTTTACAAAAATTAACTTTTTCAACTTAATTTTTGAAAATGTTCCGGAAATACTGCGTCCTTCAAACATATATCAAATTAAAGCTTATTTTATGTACTATAAAATGAAAAAAAAAAATTTGTCCCGACGACCTATCTTCTACATTTAAACGGCTGCCGTAGTTAAAAAAACACTATTTTTTGTAAAAATTTTCGATTTTAAATTTTCAACTTAAAAATGCTATAACTTTTTGAAAAATATATATATCAGCACAAATTTTTTTTTCTAAATACATTATAAGTACATCTTTCATTTGACATACTTTTTATTAAAATTGGACAATTTCCCCTTATATAGGGGGCGTTCAAAACTTGAAATACTGTATAAAACATAGATCTTTTTCAACTGAACTTTTGAAAATGTTTCAGAAATACTGCGTCCTTTAAACATATATCAAATTAAAGCTTATTTTATGTACTATAAAATTTAAAAAAAAATGTGTCCCGACGACCTATCTTCTATGCGCAAATGGCTACCGTATTCAAAAATATGCTATTTTAACAAATTTTTTTTTTTTTTTAATTAAACACTATCTACAGATTTACATCGAAGCGTTTTGTATGATAGTGATTTTAATCACTGTCAGATATCATCTATACTGGACCCAACTATGCCACGACCCCACTGTGCTGGGTTTTTTATTATTATCGATAATCATTTTAAATTATAGGGATTATCGGACAAATTTTAGCTGATAAAAAGTTATTTTATTTATTTATCAAGTTGAATTATTCTAGTAATAAATAAAAAACTGACATCTAGTTACTTTTAATCAATTAATAATATTTTTATTTATTTAGATTTCAGAAACATGTATGCCTTGATATATCATAAAACACTTAATAGTAAAATAGAAGATATAAGGGTTCAATTAGGGGTCCAACTGAAATTGTACTATTAAGGTATTAATTTTACTAAGATGTGTTTTTTTTTTTATGTCTGTCGTCACTTTTTCTTAGCACTGACCGAACCGATTTCTTTCAATCATACGTCAAAAAGTCACAAATCATATCTTGTTGTAGAAATTTTTCTTAAAATTTTCCTTCATCCCCTGTAAAAAGAGAAATCCCCATAGAAGTTACAATTTTTAAAATTAGTAAATTTTCGACATTTTTTAAATTACTTTTTTTTTTTAACTGCCATAACTTTTTTTAAAAATGAACAAATCAAAACTATTTTTTTTACATAGAAACCTAAAGTATTTCCCTTTTATTAGATATCATTTTTTTCAAAATCTAACTCATTACCTGCCCACGGGGGTAGATTCAAAATAACAACTCTTTCACTAAAAACAATTTTTACAACTTAACTTTTGAAAATGTTCCGCAAATACTGCGTTCATTAAACATGTTAAACTAAAGTTTATGTTACGTAAAATAAGTTAAAAAACAAAAAATAGAAGTTAATTTTTCTTTTGGAATAATCCACCAATTTGTAAAAATTAAACACTATCTACAGATTTAAATCAGAGTGTTTTTTATGATAATGATATTAATCACTGTCAGATATCATCTGTTTGATCGAAACGCCCCGTAATGATTTGCGGGATAGTGTAAGTTTGTTTTTAGAGTCTCTAAAATCATGCAAGGAGAAAAAAATAGGAGTGGACTGTATAAATGAATAAAATCGAATTAGGAATATATAACAATTAATTGTATTAAAGTAATAAACCAAATTATATATATCAATGTGGGTAATCAATGCTAATGCAACAATGCGTCAAATAAAACAAATAATACAAAAACAATATAATTAATAATTACTTATCGATACTAATGATGATGACTGATGATGTGAATGGAATGCGAATGAAGTTTTTGGGATGACAATTGTACTAGACAAAATGTACTGACGCGAATAGTCTTTAAGGTGTAAGAATTTAATTCTCAATGAGCGCATCGCATGAGCGATATGTCAGCGTTTTTAAACAACTACGTGCTTGCAAGCACCGTAAAATCATATAACAGGAGAAGTTATGATGGTGGCGAAAACGCAAAAAAATCACAAAACGGGACCAACAGCAACTCGATGTCGTACAACGATCGCGTACATACTAATCCAATGTAATGAGTCTCTCGTACAATCGGTGGTGGTAATGCGAGTGGCGTTATCAGTCATAGCAAAAAATGTAAGAAAACGCCCTCTCGTAAGGCGTATCCAACATCATCTATACTTAAAATAATTTTTGTCTTTTTTTCTCTATGGTTAAACTAATCAATTAGAATACATAAATTATTGTTAAAGATATATTGATAATGAATTGAATTAGTTTATGAGATACTAGATTTTATTACTGTATAAATATTGTTCCGGAAGAAGCCAAGTATTCTTTTTCTAATAAATATTTTATATGATTAGTTAAAAAGAAAAAATCGATAAACAAAAAAAAAAAAGGATCATCATTATAATAATTCACTAATAATTGTAACAACTTTCAAAAACAGTGAACCATAATGGGAATAGTGCCCTTTTACAACATAGACAATTATTATCAACAATTTAAAAAATTTTAATTCTATTAATGCAAATACACTACAATAAAACTTCGATGATTGAAGTCCATCTGACTTTCATAACATGAACACAAAATGTGACTATGCCAAGAATAAATAATAATATGTAATATTTAAGCTGTATGAAAAATAGATCAATTGAATAAAGTTTAAAGTAGCTAAATGAAAAGTACTCAAAATGAAAGATACTGAAATTGAATCTGATGCAAAATAGTGAAAAAAGAAATATGGTTTTCAAATAAACGCACAACTACTATTTCAAATGACTGCGTCCAGGAAGAAGAGGAAAAATTGTGCTCTCATTAAGAAAGAGTAACCAGTAAAATACTGCGGTTAGTCAGTTTCAAAAAAATTTTCAAAAGTATTTAAAAATTTTAAAAAATACATATATGGCGTAAAAAAAAATCTTAAATTTGGATTCTTTAAGGGTTTTTTTTTTTTTTACAAAAAACAGTTTATTTAATAGAAATTTTACAAATCATTTTTATTTTTCGATTCAAAATATTTTTTTCTTCAAATACTTAACCTTATATACCTACTTACTAACTATTGTGTAATAAAATTTGAAAATATTAGGAATTTCCATTAAATTTGAACACCAGATAATGGTGATGGAACTAATGGGCGGGGAACAACTGATCCCATGGGAAGGCTAAGTTATCATTTTCCCTCTCATGTAAAAAGTACCTTAATCAAATCCTCTACGGCAACAGTCTAACCAACCGTCAAGGAGTATTATGTTCGTAATACCATGGATATGGGTAATGATGTCCATAATCTTAGTTATAGCAATAAAAACTAGAAAATTATTATTATAAGATACACATAAAGGTTAATAATATATTGTTTATATTCTTATCTTTTAAAATTTATAAAAAACTATCAATCATTTTTCATTTTATAAAACAAAAAATTGATTGATAACAACTTTTGAAATAGTATTTCAGAAGTTAGTAATATGTTTAATAGGGTGTCCCTTATTTTGAAAATTTTGGAAATTCTTCGGGCTCACCCCCCAAATTTGTGTGTATACATATAAAAAGTGGCTACAAAAAATTTCAGGCCGATCAGATAAGTTTAACCCGTGCCGACTTGGGGTTGAAAATTGGCACAAAAGGGGTACTTTATTAGTTTTTAGCAATTAACTCGTAAATTAGCGATCTCACAAAAAAAAATGTTGAAACTAAATTGTATATCTAACTGTTTTATATAAATTAAGTCCTTACAGTTTTTCTTTTAAATCCATTAGTTTTCTAGAAAAATGTCAAAATACATAATATTTTGTAAAATTGCCGAAATTAGCATATTTACGAATATTTCATCATATATGACGAACCATGCGTGATACGACCTAATGTTTCATACAAAAATTGTTTAAAATTAAATTTTACGAAATAAAAGTAATAAGTACAAATTTCATTGAACCGATCGTTTTATTGCTAAAGCTGAAATAATTAGATCATATTACGATTTTTACTAAATATATGAATTTTATTGCTTAATTTAAATATATTTCATTTATATTGTATATTCAATTGTAAATTGATGTATTTGTTTGACTTAAACGCATAATTATACTTACTTCTCAATATTATTGTATAAATAAAAAAAAAAATTACTACATAAAATACAAAATGTTAAATTCAATATAATTCACAAATTATAACAAAAATATACATTAAAAACTATGTTTTAATGTTTCTTTGTTGCAATTAGGATATAATTTTCTGTGTTCTTGGACACAGCGTAAAAGTAACTAAGCTTTTTCATCGTTTACAGTTAAACTTCCATGAAAATCTTCCATTAGCTTAACCGCTCTCTCTGCAGAGTCATTTACTACTTTAAGTGAACATACAATTTCTTTTCCGTGTAAATAAAAATCATCAGTATTCCAATTACTTGGATCCAATTTTAAAAAATTAGTATTGATATCGAATCTTTCAAAAAATTTCATACTGCTTTTTGACAAAAAAGAAGCTACAGTTTTTTCTAAAAAAATAAATCAATCACTCAATAGTCATCAAAAAATAAAGATATCAAAAATTATTATACCTGAAAATGATTTGTCTATATCACTCGATGAAAGAATAAAACGTTTGCTAGGGTTTATTATTGACTCATTATTAAGGGGTACAACCATTAATTTTTTTATTTCGGTTGAAATGGTATCGTCAAAAAATGTTAAAGCAGCTGTTTCCTCTGTTAAGTACCATAAATGATTACAAATTTTGTTTAACGCTGCTTTCGCAATTAACGGTTGTTCTTTTTCATATAACTTTAATTCTTTGATAAAATTTAAGTCGTTATTCGGAGTTTTGGACGGTTCAGTACAGTTAAACCAGGCTTTTAAATAAAATCGAATAATAAAAATACATATATCTCGAATAGCATTTATTTCAAAAGTTTTTAGTAAATACTGTTTTCGGTATAAATAAATCTTAAAGCAATATATTGCTCTACTCATCCAACGAGCTTGGTGCATGGCTCCAGGAGGGTGTATTTTAATTTTTTATCTGAGTCACCATTTAAAAAAATTATAGATAGCTCGAGCAATTCTTTATAATCATCTCTAAAACATCCGATTCGCAACATTGCCCTAGAAAACTGGAGAATATTATTTCGATAATTTTCAAGTGCAGAGCAACATTCAACGTCATCTATTCCACAGATCGTATTAGAAACATCAATATTATTCCAATTTTTTTTAAAGTTTTTAAATATGGGAATATCAGGGCTTAATGTTACCTGAGGAAGTTTTGTTTCGAAAACACCGCGTAAAATCAGTTCATATATATGGTGGCGACAAGGTAAATACAATAGATCTTTCTCTAATTTTTGCTCTAGTAAAATACACGAACCTTTTAAACGTCCCATATTAGATGCGGTGGTATCGCAGCATAGAGCTTGGACAATATTTAATAAGCCCCAATCATCTAACGCACAATGAACAGCATTAGCTTGTTCATACCCCGTCGAATTTTTTAGTTTCGGTATACCAATTAATAAATCTAAATTTTTACTAGTTATCACAATTGGTAACCTATTAATGCCCGAGTCTCTTACATTTAAAGTTGGTAAAATTTTTCCATTCCAATGCACAGTGACATACATAGGAGGACAACTTTGAAAATTTTTTTTTATTAAATTAGCCCGTTCAATTCGCATAGCATCACGGCATTTATGTATTGAAGACTTATTTATAATAAGAGAATCGACATCATGACCTAAAGCTTCAACTGTTGCTTGAATAATATAAACTGCGTCTCGTGCGTTTATTTTACATCGATCTAACGCAGCTACAAGTTTCGGTGTTATGATATTTGTTTGACCCCTTTTATTCTGTTTTGCTAAAACATTAAAAGATTTTTCATTCCCAGATTCTATAGATGAAGAAGAACTTATAATTATATCATCTGATAAATAAGGTATACTTTGCGTAGAATATGAAGTAGATGGACCGGCTACTTGGTATTCACTAAGCCTTTCTGTTTCTCTAATCTTACGCTATTTAGATCTCTCTTCTTTCTCTTGTAATTTTTGATCGATGCCACCTAGACAACCAATTCGACCAGGAAGTCTTTGGTTCATTAAAAATTGTTTATCGGCAACTACCTTAATTAAATTTAAAGCATCGGCGTGAGCGGTATCAAACAAATGATCAAAATTATTAATAAACTCAGTTTCTTTTGCTCTAAACGTTTCTCCAATTTTGTGAGAATTCTTTTGTAAAATGCGCCACTTTTCATAAAATTTAACCAACTTATTTACACAGTGGTGAAATGATCGAGTAGGAATTCGAGCTTTTTCCCAGAAAATATTACACTCGCGAATAGTTAATGCTGCACTTGCTCTTATAGTAAGATTAACAATTCTTAGATTATAAAAAAAAAACTTTTAGAACTTACCCAATAGATGGAAGTTTTGAACCTAAAATTTGAGTAGTCAAAGACTCTATTAAAAATATTTTATTGTCATTTCGTAATACTACGGACATTTTTACGTACACTAAAAGAAAAACACAATAGGAAGCAGTTCAACTTAATACGCGACGTGAGCGACTAAAGTGGTATAAGTATGAGTTCACTATACCTATTGCTGCGATTTGTAATAAATTTATGATTTCCAGAGTTATTTATAATTTAAAAATAATAACAATACATTAACCAGTCATACCATAGTATTATCGCCGTACTTGTACGATAAATGTTGTAGTGTACCAAATGATAACTAACAGAATCTAGCAATAAAATTCATATATTTAGTAAAAATCGTAATATGATCGAGTTATTTCAGCTTTAGCAATAAAACGATCGGTTCAATGAAATTTGTACTTATTACTTTTATTTCGTAAAATTTAATTTTAAACAATTTTTGTATGAAACATTAGGTCGTATCACGCATGGTTCGTCATATATGATGAAATATTCGTAAATATGCTAATTTCGGCAATTTTACAAAATATTATGTATTTTGACATTTTTCTAGAAAACTAATGGATTTAAAAGAAAAACTGTAAGGACTTAATTTATATAAAACAATTAGATATACAATTTAGTTTCAACATTTTTTTTTGTGAGATCGCTAATTTACGAGTTAATTGCTAAAAACTAATAAAGTACCCCTTTTGGCCGATTTTCAACCCCAAGTCGGCACGGGTTAAGCTTATCTGATCGGCCTGAAATTTTTTGTAGCCACTTTTTATATGTATACACACAAATTTGGGGGGTGAGCCCGAAGAATTTCCAAAATTTTCAAAATAAGGGACACCCTAATNTTTGGGGGGTGAGCCCGAAGAATTTCCAAAATTTTCAAAATAAGGGATACCCTAATGTTTATATATAGAGCGGTAGAAGAGCGCGTCAGAGTAATGTATAATGATAAAAATAATAAAAATAGATTTATACTTCGTTAACACTGGCAAACGTGTCTCAAAATTGAAATGGTTGATGCAATAACCAGATAACTCCAACTATTCAGAAAATAATTTGTTGTTAATTTTGAATATATACCCAATGTATTAATTCAAAATTCTACAAGAAATTTTTATCAGCTCTAGTTTTTGAGATATTTACTCATTAGTAAAAGACAAGTTTTTACTACAAAGAAATCATTTTGTTAAAAATAATCTAAGTGGAATTTTGATGTAAAATTTCATATTTAACCAATTTTTTGATCCTTTTGAATTTATTAAGAGCTTATTAAAATTAAATTGTTTACATAAAATTATATTATAACTGTTTATAAACGATTTTCTGCATAATTTAGTATAAAAATTCTATACACTATTATTTGTGCATATATATAATTGAAAAAGAAAAATACTTATTTAATACTTAAATAAAGTATTTTTATTAAAAAAATTGTGAATTTTTTTACTTTGACAACTATTTTCTCATAATGGAACAGACGCCGGGACAATTTTTTTTTAATCTTACAATATATTTCAAAATCTTTAATTTTATATTAGTTTAGTGTATTCAGTCGTTTCTGAATATTTCCAAAAATTGTGCAGTAAAAAATAATTTAAACATACGTGTGTGGTTTTATTTTCAAAACTTTTCCGTACATTTTTTTATTAAATTTTTATTAAATTGCATAAAAGAATATCCAAAGTGTGAATATTTTTTCTAGTGTATCATATTAAGTTTAAAAAATGTCGAAATTTACCCATAAAAAATGTAATTTTTTGGATGATTTTCCCAAATTTCAGGGAACGAGAGAATTTTTAATATGACACAAATCAACAATGAATAAGTATAAAACTCTATTAATACAAACACAGAAGCATACACATTTCAATTTGTACAGACTGTTTACAATATTCTAAATAGTTTAAACATTTTTATTTTAAATTATATAATATCTAAAAGACATGTATAGTCATTTCATATACTAAGTATTTTTTAATTAAAGTATTTTTTTTTCATTTTAGAAGAAAAACTCTATCTTTATGCGTTCTCGTTCGATTCAAGTACTTAATGTCAATTAATAAAATCAAATGCATCGACTATACTATACATACAAAAATGAAAAATATGCTAATTTTAACATTGTCTCCTGATATTAATTTGAAAACAATGTGTAAAAATAAATGAAATAACTTCACTTCATTATAATTAACTATGATTTATCATAATTAAACGTATACACTATTTTCTTTATTTAAAATACTTTAGTAATTATTTTATTTTTAATTAAAATACAAAATCTTCTATTAAAAACAACAAAATCACCTATTATGTATTAAAAATATAAGTTTTACAGTTAAAATTATATCAATATTTATATAAACTATTATTAGTTTGTATAATATAAAGTCTTATATACATAAAATTACATGAATAATATTGGGCAAATATTTTTCAAGAAAAAATTGTCATGGAAACATATTTTCATAATTTTACATGTGAATCTATTAATCACAAGTTATAAATTCTTATGAAGTGTACTAGAGATTTTTATAAGCGCATTGTAGGTTTAGTGAGAAATCCTGTTGATTTTTATTGGTTAATTATTTTGTGAAATAAAAATAAAAAATTATTCAGTTGAATAAAATAACTAATTAATCATCATTAAAATTTTGAATTTTATGTAAGATAATATGATTCGCCAAAAATCTTAATTTTAATTGAATGGATATATTATAAATTTACAATGCGTGTACGCAAAATATAAAATAGAATATTACAATAGTAAATAGTTACATTGTGAATATTTAACTAGCTATCGATAATAATTAATTACTTCACGCAACTTCATTATGCCTGAGTATGTCTTAAAGTTTTTTTAATGCTGTATTTAGGGTTGAACATAAACCAAACTTACAATTTTTTAATGGTACCATTTTCTATCTCGAACCGAATATTAATTTTAATCATTGTCAAGCAAACCATTTTTTGTATCATTATAAAAGTTTGATTTTCAAACTTAGGATGTTTGATTGATTCGGTTCAAATATCACAAGTTTTTTTTTTAATTTCAATTAAATTAAAATATCTTACGATTTTTCCAAATTTATCGTTTGCAACATTTACACTGAGCAAAACAGTGGCAGATATTGGGCAGCTAATTTCAAAAGTTCGCATGAAAACTTTTCTGAGAATCTGAGTGAACGAAATTGAATAGACCAAATATAATAGCGATGGAAGTTAAAAACACTTTTAATAAGTACATGTTTGTTGTGTTCAATGTACAATTCAAAATTCTTGACAATTATTTATGTTAAATTTACACGGATCTTGAGAGTCTTATAGAGGACAGAATCAAAATTAAAAGGGGACCTACGTTTTATATATATTAAATATTATAATAAGTAATTAGGTGACCTTACTGTTAACTATTGATTAAAAATATAACCTGATAAAACTATTTGTAAATCATTTCCTTCTGGTCAATTTTGATTTAATTAATCAGACTAATTAATAATTATTATAAATAATAATATCAAGGTTATTACCTTGAAGAAGTCGAGTTTTTCGGCGTGGTCATATGAAGAAATTAAAACCCATGCAATATTAAGATATTTTATGGCAGATAAAGTGATGTTCGGTGTGCGATTAATCATATTATAGTTATGATATCACATGAAAATCTCGGTCGTTAAATGCACGCTATCTATACTAAATTAATCAATTCAAATCTGTAAGATGCATTGTTGTTAAATTAGTGGACTTTTGTACTTATTAAAGTTATAGAAAAAGTAAAGTAATTGCAATATTGTTTTTAATTATATCATTTCTAATTAAATTAGTAGCTATAATTTAACATTTCAAATGTTTTTCATCACTCATAGCTTTTAATAGTGTGGCGAAACTATAAAAATAGTATTTATAATTTTACGCGTTCTTAAAATATAAATACATGTTCCACTATAACTAGAATATAAATGAAATAAAAGAACTTAAATTGTAGTTTATAAATACCATTTTTTTTATAATATTATTACTAAACCAATAAATTCGGCTTAGTAACTTTTATAACTCTAAACTTTTTTGAGTACTAGTTGTGCGATGTCAACATATGTCTTTTACTGTAGTATAGAATATTATTTATTTTATAATTATTGTTAAATCTAAAAAAGATTGATGTTACGTGTAACTATCGCCTCGTGGTTACATGATGCGACACTAAAAGGGTCCCTAAAAAGAATATATTTTGTACAAATGTAGTTTAACAAAATACACCTTATAATGATTGACTAAGAGCATCATTATTCATAACCTCCGGTTCAATATTTTCATAATAAATTTTGCTTACTTATTATGTCCACAATACTTAATCAAAAATATTGTAATTAGTATAATTTTAACTACAATATTGTTGCTTTTTACGTCAGAAAAGAAAAGGAACATTTTCTAGCATTATTTTTAAGAATTTTTTTAGTTAAAATATTTTTATTGACATTTCAAATACCACACTTAAGAGATATTTAACATTAATAGCCTGTCAACATTGTAACCTGGTGCTGGATAGTAATTGTTACTAACTATAATCACAACAGATTATCATTAATTAAAATGATGATAAAACTGCTACAAGTAAACAAAAATATTCAATTAAATTTAATTAAATGTTTGAATATTGCTTAGTAAATTATATTTAGTTTCGCCTTAAAAAAATAGTTAAGGAAAAATCTTCCGATAGGGTTGCCCTAAAAGAAATTGAAAGTGAAGTAACTAGTGAACGCCGTTTATGCTGTAGTAATTATATGAGGAAGTATTGAATTACGTCGATTTTAGTATAATATAAGCCTTACAATAGTAGTAAGCAATTTTTGAACTCTTAAGCAATAAAATAATTCCATATAAAAGGGAAATGCAGGGTAAGCAAATTAATAATGGTGGGAAAAAGAATATAAAAGGGAAACATGAAGAGGATAGGGGGACGATACTGAGCGAGACGAGACTGGACGTTTTTGTCGAAGAAACGTCGAGTTGCGGGTAAGGTTGTTGACGTAAGAATAACTATATACTTTTTGTAAGATTTAATTAATTTTTGTGTTAAATTATTATATTATATTTGACTTTTGTGTTTAATACTTTTCGTAAATAAAATAGCTATTTAAAAATCTTGACTTAGCNTATATATACATAAAACTTTAATAAACCTTTGTGTCTACGTTGGGGCACTACCGACGTACGACAATGCTTAGGCTCTAACAATGTAACAAAAATATTAGTCAACCAACATATGAGTTTCAATCAGTAGCCGATAAAATTAATTATTGTACATCTCTAGTCGTAAGTATTACGAAATTTTTAATTTTATAATTTATAATATTTGATAAAATACAGTTTTTTATTGTTTTAAATGTATTTTTTTATATTTATAGTTATATATTCTTAAATAACGTAATAATAAATAATATATCATATTATTTTACATATAAAGTCATTTACTATTTATCAAATGTAATTGTTTAATTGTTTAATTTAATTGAGTAGTATTTTAAGTTATTAATATAACATAGATAACCAAATGTAATAATAAATTCTGTTTAAGCTTAATTGGATTACCATTGATGGACATGCGAGCTTAATATGATTACAGATTCGGAAGGATTAAATCCTCTTACCTCTCACTACAATTAACACGTGTCTCCTAGAAGATTTATTTCAAAATGTTTATAATTGTATATTATATGAAATTTTCAAAATAATATAGTGATAATAACTTCTTTTACATTTTTCTAACATTTCTAGTACTGAAGATACAAAGAAAACATGTAGAAGATAACTAAATTTACTAAAAATATTATTTTTTTAACAACTAATAAAGTGATGAATAATAAAAATTATAAATTTTTGTAATAAACCAAAAAATTAAAAAAAAAACACTGCAAAGAACTTTTAAATAAAATGAACGAAATGTAAAAATATATAAGTAATCGTAAATATATAATAAATATAGTTTAAAAAAACACGCTTTTAATGCACATCGAACTAAAAAGTCAAAAATAATTTTTAAAATGAGATTAAAACAATTATGAATGAAAAATACTATTTCAATTGCGTGATAAAATGATATTAAAACAATAATGAACGAAAAATACTATTTTAATTGCGTGATAAAATAAACTTAAAACAACAATGAACGAAAAATACTAGTATTATTGTGAAAAAAATCGTCGGGCGTTCAATATACGAAAAATATGGCACAAAGCACCCACGCTTTTTTTCACAATAATACAATACACAATAATTTCATTTCATTTTATCACGCAATTAAAATAGTACTTTTCATTCATAATTGTTTTAATCTCATTTTAAAAATTATTTTTAACTTTTTAGTTCGATGTGCATTAAAAGCGTGTTTTTTAGTTTTTTTAAACTATATTTATTTTTAACTTTTTAGTGCGATGTGCTTTAAAAGCGTGTTTTTTTAGTTTTTTTTAAATATATTTATTTTTTACTTTTTAGTTTCATTTGTTATGAAAGGGAGTTTTTATAAACTATATTTTTTTTACATAAATAGCTCGGTATTTATGTTTTTGGTTAAAATATTGTTAAGGACAGGGGCACTAAATATTATAGTGCATACCCGAACAGGCTAAAAGCACTTAATACCGATCAGACTGTGTTGTGTAATGCCGTGTAAATAGATTCACTGGTGGTGGGAGGGTTCGCCTGCACAAAACCAGTGATCTATGTTGTGAATAAATGTGTAAGTGTGTTAAGAACTCTTAAATTAATTAATGTAGATTAAACTTGACTTCAGTATAATAATGAAACTTAAGTACGGAAATGTATCATACACGAGGTATAGCTGATTTGTCTCGTATCATCATTTTTCGTCACTATCTCCACGTGCCGGGAGTGGATAATTTGCGTGCCTACAACTTTCCATGGTGTGGTAGCCGTTTCTCAGACTCCCTCGCCGGAATCGAACCCTGATTCCCTGTTACCCGTTACAACGCAAGTTATAATACAAACGATTTTATGGGACCCGGTTGTTAAATGATATATCGAACGCGTTGATATAGAGTGTATTGTATACTACTTGTCAATCTCTAGCTATATACTAATTGCTGTCTATTGTTGCAATTTTATGTGTATCAGCGGCGGCGCCTCACGCGCGATAAAGATTGTATGGAGAAACAACTGGCGAATCTACTTGTTTTATATTAAAAAAAAAAAATTAACGAAGTGGAAATCTACAATTGTTGCGCT